CTATAGACCCATCTCTAACCTCCCCTTCCTCTCTAAGATTCTGGAGAAAGTAGTCGCCAAAGAGTTGTGTGACTTTCTACATAACAATAGTTTATTTGAGTATTTTCAGTCAGGATTTAGAGTTCATCACAGCACAGAGACAGCTCTGGTTAAAGTTAATAATGACCTTCTGATTGCTTCTGACAATGGACTTGTCTCTGTACTTGTATTATTAGATCTTAGTGCTGCATTTGACACCATTGACCATGATATTCTTTTACAGAGACTTGAGCATCAAATTGGCAATAAAGGAACCGCACTAAGCTGATTTAAGTCATATTTATCAGATCGCTCGCAGTTTGTACATGTTAACGATGAATCTTCAATAAATACTACAGTTAGTCATGGAGTTCCACAAGGTTCTGTACTTGGACCAATACTATTTACTTTATATATGCTCCCTTTAGGCAACATTATTAGGAATCACTCCATTAACTTTCACTGTTATGCAGATGATACGCAGTTATAGCTATCAATCAAGCCCAATGAAATGAATCAATTATCTAAATTACAAACATGTCTTAAGGACATAAAATCCTGGATGACCTGCAATTTTCTGATGTTAAACTCAGAAAAAAACGAAATTCTTGTTCTTGGCCCTAAAAACCTTAGAGACTCACTGTCTAAAGATATAGTTACTCTAGATGGCATTAACTTGGCCTCTAGCACCACTGTCAGGAATCTTGGAGTTATCTTTGATCAGGATTTGTCATTTAACTCCCACATAAAGCAGACCTCTAGGACTGCCTTCTTTCATTGACGTAATATTAGAAAAATTAGACACATCCTATCACAGACAGATGCATAAAAACTAATCCATGCATTTGTTACTTCAAGGCTGGATTACTGCAACTCTTTATTATCAGGTTGCCCCAATAAGTCCATTAAAACGCTCCAATTAATTCAGAACGCTGCAGCACGAGTACTGACAGGAACTACAAAAACAGATCACATCTCTCCTGTACTAGCTTCTCTGCATTGGCTCCCTGTAAAATGTAGAATTGAATTTAAAATCCTCCTCCTCACCTATAAAGCTCTTCATGGTCAGGCCCCTTCATATCTTAAAGAGCTCATAGTACCCTATTACCCCTCTAGAACACTACGTTCTCTGAATGCTGGGCTACTTGTGGTTCCTATAGTCTCTAAAAGTAGAACAGGAGCCAGAGCCTTCAGTTACCAAGCTCCTCTCCTGTGGAACCAGCTTCCATTTGTGGTTCGGGAGGCAGACACCCTCACCACATTCAAGAGTAGGCTTAAGACATTCCTCTTTGATAAAGCTTATAGTTAGGGCTGGATCAGGTGAGTCCTGAACCATCCCTTAGTTATGCTGCTATAGGCCTAGACTATCGGGGGATTTCCCATGGTGCACTGAGCTCCTCCCTTCCTCTCTCTTTCTGCACTCATTCATGTCCCATTAATGCATGTTACTAACTTCACTTCTTCCCCGGAGTTCTTGTGCTTTCTCGTCTCGCAGGTTCTTGTCGATCCTGGTGGAGCCTCCTGCCATGGTCCTGCTACATTGCCATTGCCAATACTGTTGTTGCTGTGCACCTGTCTGTCTGTCAGTCTGTCTCTCTCTCTCTCTCTCTCTCTCTCTCTCTCTCACCCCAACTGGTTGAGACAGACGACCACCCACCTAGAGCCGGAGGATCTGTCCTAGGTTTCTGCCTTTTAACGGGCAGTTTTTCCTTGCCCTTGTCGCCAAGGTCTTGCTCATGGTGGTACTGTTGGGTCTCTGTAATTAATGTTTTAAAGAGTTCGGTCTAGACCTGCTCTATTTGAAAAGTGTCCTGAGATAACTTCTGTTATGAATTGGCGCTATACAAATAAAATTGAATTGAATTGAATTGAATTGAATAACAGTGAAAGTTCATGGAGTGATTCCTAATAATGTTGCCTAAATATTAGAGAGCCACTACCTGGGGAAAACAGAATTTTATCTTAGAATCAGGAGCACTCAAGATGGTGCTGCCTTGCTGCTGCGACATGCAGCAGTAGCCGTGTGTGTGCGTATTTGTCTAAATGTGTTCTTCGTATCTCGTCTGTCATGTTTGAACTAGCCGCGGGAATGTAAGAGTATCCCAATAGTGAACCATCGTCAAACCAGCTCGTCTCACAGACTGCAGTACAGTCGGGACTTCCTCATCCAATGGAATAGTTCAGCCACGTGGACAACCAGAGATTCGCAGGTGCGGGTCTGCTTGCCTCGTTCGACAAACAACGCCGGGGGTGAGGATTCGTGGCCGAGGCAGCGGAGCATGCGGAAGATGGCGTGGGCCTGTCGTCAGACTGCGGTCGATAGAAGCGGGTTGTGTGAGAAAGCGTGGCCGGAAAGGAGGAGTGTGACAGAGACTACACAGAGTTGGATTGCACCGCTTGCCACTTCCCTCTGTCATCCTTGGAAACATACAATCGTTAAGGAACAAAGTGGACGAACTGCAGGCAAACGTTAAATGCATACTGGAGTATAAGAATGCCTGTGTCATAGCTTTGACTGAGACTTGGTTAAAAGAACATGACTGGGGCCAAGATCTTGAAATCGATGGCTTTGGTCAGCCTATTCGGTTAGACAGAGACACACAGCTGACTGGCAAAACACAAGGAGGGGGCGTGTGTGTATATACGTCAACTCACGCTGGTGCAAAACTATCATAATAAGGGAATCTATCTGTAGCCCACATATCAAACTTTTATCTATCTCACTGCGTCCGTTTCATCTGCCATGAGAAATTCCCCAACTTTTCATTACACTGGTCTATATCCATCCAAGAGCCAACTCGGCAGATGCTGCAGCTGAAATTACAAAACTTTTTCACCTTTTACAAAGCATTTCCCCCGATGCCCCGCATTTTATACTTGGTGATTTTAATACGTGTAGTCTCAAGAAACACCTCGGGCACTTTCATCAATATGTAAGCTGTCCTACCAGACATGGCAAAATCCTAGATCTGTGCTATGGTACAGTTAAAGATGCCTACAAATCTTTCGCAATGTCACCCTTGGGGTCTTCTGACCATAGCTGCGTCTTTTTGGCCCCGATCTATCAATCAGCCGTTAAGAGAGGCAAAGTTGAGCGTAGAGAGGTCTCTGTATGGACAGATGGCGCATTTAAAGAATTGAATGGCTGCTTTCATAGTACCAATTGGGATGTTTTTAAGGACTCATGCACAGATCTAGACGAAGTAACTTTCACTGCGTCAAGCTACATCAGATTTGGCAATCTAGCAGGACCATGGCAGGAGGCTCCACCAGGATCGATAAGAAACTGCGAGACGAGAAAACACAAGAACTCCGGGGAAGAAGTGAAGTTAGTAACATGTGTTCACAATTCAAGGCATAAACCACTGATTTGAAGTGCATTTTACATGCATGTCCTCCACATTTGGTGCACTTTTGTCCAAACCCTTCTGCACCGTGGGCACCAGACACACTGCCTCTGCTTTCTGGAGGGCCTTGGCTGTGGCTCCTCCTCCTCCTCTGCTGCTCTGCACTCGGCACTGCTGCTGGTTTTGTTTGTGTCTGACATTTTTCCACCTTTAATAAGACATTGGCCGTCCAGCCAGGATGATGTCATTAAAGCTGTGACTGACTGCAGATCAGCTGACCGGAGGGTCCAGGTGAGGTCACACACAAACACACACCTGCTGTGTGATAAACAGATTATTGGTTATTGATTGGGCGTCCTGCTGCTCTGTGGGAGGTGGAGCTCTTCCTGTGGAGGACCAAACTCTGTCCTCCAAACTACGTTGTGTTACTCAACCTGCGGCCCTGGCCCCACCGGAGGTCAGCTGATGCGCAGGCGTTTTATTTTGTTTTAAAGCTCAAACTGATAGAGAGGAGCGTCGCTGGGGAGATCGTCTCCACGGCTATGGTGAACAAACCTGGTGGCAGCTTCCTGTTTGTTCAGCTGATGGAGGGTCAGACAGCTTGGTCGTCACCACCGCAACAGAGGAGGACTGTCACATTCAGCAAGGAGGATTGTCACCATGGCAACCGGGAAGCAAAGGCTGAACCATCAGTAAAGGCAGTAAAGACAGTAGAAGCAGCAGTAAAGACAGTAGAAGCAGCAGTAAAGACAGTAGAAGCTGCAGTAAAGACAGTATAAGCGGCAGTAAAGACAGTATAAGCGGCAGTAAAGACAGTAGAAGCTGGAGTTAAGACAGTGGAAGCGGCAGTAAAGACAGTGGAAGCGGCAGTAAAGACAGTATAAGCGGCAGTAAAGACAGTAGAAGCGGCAGTAAAGACAGTATAAGCTGCAGTAAAGACAGTATAAGCTGCAGTTAAGACAGTATAAGCGGCAGTAAAGACAGTGAAAGCGGCAGTAAAGACAGTATAAGCGGCAGTAAAGACAGTAGAAGCGGCAGTAAAGACAGTATAAGCGGCAGTAAAGACAGTAGAAGCGGCAGTAAAGACAGTGGAAGCGGCAGTAAAGACAGTAGAAGCGGCAGTAAAGACAGTAGAAGCGGCAGTAAAGACAGTAGAAGCGGCAGTGAAGACAGTAGAAGCGGCAGTAAAGACAGTAGAAGCTGCAGTAAAGACAGTGGAAGCGGCAGTAAAGACAGTGGAAGCTGCAGTAAAGACAGTAGAAGCTGCAGTAAAGACAGTGGAAGCTGCAGTTAAGACAGTGGAAGCGGCAGTAAAGACAGTAGAAGCTGCAGTAAAGACAGTGGAAGGGGCAGTAAAGACAGTAGAAGCTGCAGTAAAGACAGCGGAAGCGGCAGTAAAGACAGTAGAAGCTGCAGTAGAGTCCAGTTGTGCAGTCAGTCGTTTTCTGTTCACATCATATTTCATCCTATTTCTTTAATGTTCTTTAGATGTTTCAGTCGGTTGTAAAAATCTTAAGAAATGTTTAGATAAAAATGTTTTCGAATAAGATAATCAGCTGTAATCGATTATTACTGTGTTATTGACAAGTGGCGTCGTTGTACTGTGCAGGAGGAAATCACAGAAACTCAGAGAACTTCTCAACAGCAGAGTTTTATTAGAAACACGAGAACAAAAACTCAATGAAAACATCGCCTTTTCTCTCTGCAGGACTTTTAGTGTTCAGAGGTTTCAAACTGTCGTCCACCGTCAGACACTACAGATAAAGGAAGTGGACAAACGTCTCCTCACACTGAAACTGAACAATCAGAACTTCCGGAGGACAAATGTAATCTGATTACACTGAAACATGTTGATCATCACAAAACAACAGACACAAAGCTGCTCTGCTCGAGGTTTTGTGATGATCAATACGTTCGATGAGCTCAGTGTGATGAAGAGCTGAGGGAGGATAACACACTGAAACGAGAGTTTCCTTATTTTATACGTATTGAACTTTCATTTGCTCACATGTTGGATTATAACCTGTTAAAGCAGCAGACGTGTGCTTTCTCTCCTGCACTGTGTCAGATTATTCATATATTTGTTATACTTTTCCAGGCAGCTTTTGGTTTCCATAAGGTTTAAAATCATCATCCCTGACCGTCTGCAGTTTTATTGCTTCATAACAATAATAATTATAATAACAGCAGACGTGATGTTTTAATGTGACAGATTCCAACAGATTTGAACTCCTTAAAGAAATGAACGAAACCAATGAGTTGATTTAAGTTGATTTGGACCAATCAGAATGCCCCGCTGTATCTACAGGTTAAAATCACATGGAGGCTTTTATTGTGGAGGCAACTACAGGAACACGGTATTTCTCTCCAACTTCTGATTCTTCTAGAACTTTATTTTTCCAGTGGATCAGTTTGAAATATTACAGGAAAGAATGTTAATGATGGTCTGAAACGTGGAACTGCTGCTCTGCTCCTTTAAAACGACGCATTGTGACTAAAACTGCTCAGTTTGATTTGAACACCTTTAAAGGGTGCAGATGTAAAAACATAAATGTGCTTTAACATGCATCTCTATTGGTTGTCATGGTAACTCAGGCAGCAAATGCAAAATAAAAGAATAAACTGAGAAGGGACAGCCGAGGGGACAGCTGAGGTCAGGCGGCGCTGGAGACGGCAAGCTTCTTCAGGTGATCCATGAACACCTGTAGGCTGACGTCGTCCGTCAGGATGGGAGCTCCGGACTCCTGCAGAAGGTTCCAGAGGTCACTACAGGTCACTACAGGTTGCACATCATCAACACTGAATCTGAAGGTCAAAGGTCAAAGACTCACCTGACCCCAGGCGTACATGTTGTTGTGGGTCTGAGAGGGGTTCACTTTAGAGAGCAGGAAGCGAGCCTGGAGAACATCATCATCATCATCATCATCATCATCACACACTGAACTCTGTGTGTGTACAAGTATTCAATGTGTGTATTTGTGCTGGGGATGGAGTGACCAATACAGACACTGATTATTAGTAATCAGGGAAACCGATAACCAATAATTGGAAAAGAGTCTAAATAAAGAGGTGGAGTGTAACTAAGTACAATTACTCAGTTCTGAGGTACTTGTACTTTAATATGTGGCTGTCCTCGTCTGTGGTACAGAAGCCTTCAGTGTTGATAGATCATTACCCGTGACATTTACCAATCATATAGTGCTGTGGGCGGGACTTAGGGATCCACTGATTATTATTACTCATTCTCTATCTACTAATGAACTCATAAAGTCAACATCTCCTGATTTACTGCTTTTGTTTCAGTCAACGTGAACCCAGAAGAGTTTCCCGTTAGAAATGTTCAATCTGGGTCTCCAGCTGTTACACTGACTGACGCTAACCTGCATATGTTGGACAGTTAGCATCATTATCATTAATAATCAACGACGATGGACGATATCTCAGCAGCTGATTGGCTGAAATAAAGAAGTGCTTTGGGGGTTACTGATGATACTCAATCCATTTCCAACAGTATTTGAGCTCCCAGAGGGCAGATGTTGATTCATTCAGAGGTCATTTATATGACTCATACATTGGAGCTGCAGGTTAGAATCAGTAAAGCACAGTGTCATTGATGTGAACGTTCAGACGAATATTTCTGTGCTGCAGTATTTTGTCACTGACCTGTGTCTTTGTGGTTATGTATTCATCATATCAATAAGCTCAAAATGACTCAACAACTGGAATCAAAATCAGCCCACTGGGGGCGAGATATGGTGATAACACCGTCACAGTGGCGCTCTCCTGGTGTACAGTATCATAAAATTATTAAGCTGTATAGTATTCTGCATAAAGCTGTTTACTATATGTGTACAGTACATGTATTGTAGTGTGTTAGCGCCCCCACCTGGCTGCCTCCGTGCTCCGTGTCGATGTATCTGGGCATGGGGAAACGAGTGTGCAGCAGCTCCTGAGCGTCATCCACGGGAGCCTGAAGCAGATGTCTGAAGTTTTCATACTCGGGCATTTCCTGGTAGCCGGCCTTCCTCCACTGAGCCACAGTCTGAGCACAGGAGAAGTACAGGTACATCAGGTGCTGCTCCTCTCTCACTGCTCTTAATCATTCATTATTCACTGTTCCCCAACCATTGGTCTGATTACAGCTCAGCCAGTGTGTGAATAACCTTTACAGGTGATATGTATTATTAATATGACAAACAGAATACAGTACATGGCTGTGTGATATGACCAACATCTTATATCCTGGTAATGACAGAAATCCTGATACAGCACATTTCTGTACATTCAATAGTTTATAGAAAATGACCACATGGAAATCTTAGTACATCTGGAAGGAAATATGTTCAATTATACATGTACCGAAATATAAAATATGTATGTCTGTGTCTCCCACACTCTGATTGGAGGTTCCAGGTATTTTAACTCTACACGTTCAAAGAAAAACTCCAAATGATGTCTGCAGAGCTGAATTGGGGGGTTTCACATTATTCTAAAACTTTAAGCCCAAAAGACAAACTTCCTCCTGAAAACAGAAACCAGGCAAACAAAGATCTATATTTAGAAGATGGATTGTTCTTTGGCCCCAAACAGAGAATATAAAAATATGTGTGTGCAGTGTGTGTGTACAGTGTGTGTGTGTATAGTGTGTGTGTGCAGTGTGTGTGTGTGCAGTGTGTGTACAGTGTGTGTGTGTATAGTGTGTGTGTGCAGTGTGTGTGTACAGTGTGTGTGTGTATAGTGTGTGTGTGCAGTGTGTGTGTACAGTGTGTGTGTGTGCAGTGTGTGTACAGTGTGTGTACAGTGTGTGTGTGCAGTGTGTGTACAGTGTGTGTGTACAGTGTGTGTGTGTGTACAGTGTGTGTGTGTGTGTGTACAGTGTGTGTGTGTGTGTGTGCAGTGTGTGTGTACAGTGTGTGTATTGTGGTGTGTACAGTGTGTGTGTGTGTGTGTGTGTGCAGTGTGTGTATTGTGGTGTGTACAGTGTGTGTGTGCAGTGTGTGTGTGTACAGTGTGTGTATTGTGGTGTGTACAGTGTGTGTGTGTGTGTGTGTGTGCAGTGTGTGTATTGTGGTGTGTACAGTGTGTGTGTGCAGTGTGTGTGTGTACAGTGTGTGTATTGTGGTGTGTACAGTGTGTGTGTGTGTGTGTGCAGTGTGTGTATGTGGTGTGTGTGTACCTCTCCGTGGTAGATGAGGATCTGGAAGAAAGTGTCCATCAACAGGATTCGGTCTGGCAGGATGCTGCTGCTGTCCAATAGGACCGGCTGAAACACACAAACACTCTGATCAATCACTGATCAATAAGTGAGACTGCAGCTGCTACATTAACTGTTTTCTGTTTTTTTGCATTCAAATTTCATTTTAAGTGTTCCGAGCTCCAGACTTTTAACAGAAACTGAAGCTGTTAACACAAAGAACACAGGTGTGTGTGCAGTTGTGTGAACTGGTGTGTGTACAGGTGTGTGTACAGGTGTGTATACAGGTGTGTGTACAGGTGTGTGTGCAGTTGTGTGAACTGGTGTGTGTACAGGTGTGTGTACTGGTGTGTGTACAGGTATGTGTACTGGTGTGTGTACAGGTGCGTGTACAGTTGTGTGTGTACAGGTGTGTGTGCAGTTGTGTGAACTGGTGTGTGTACAGGTGTGTGTACAGGTGTACAAACATACCTCAGGTGGTCCGTTGAATGAATAAGCGTAGAGCACAGGCTGGATCATAATGAGAGCCTGAGTCAGGTCCTGTCTGTTGAACTGATGTCTGTAATATGAACTCTCATCTGGACTGTTGTTGAACACCTGCAAGAACGGAGAGCGCCGCAGGTGGAACATGAACTGGAAAACAAAAGAAAACACACAGGTGAGCAACAGGTAACAGGTGAGCAGCAGGTAACAGGTGAGCAGTAGGTAACAGGTGAGCAGCAAGTAACAGGTCAGGTGTTACAGAATGTAGAACAGGTATAGCAGAGCCTTATGGGATGTAGATCACCTGAGGGTAGAGGGAGAAGGTCTCAGAGAACCTGAAGGAGTTTGGATCGTCTTTGTGATAATCTCCAAACTTCTGACACTGAATAGGAACAAACAAAATGAATTAGTTAAAATCATTGTTTATTTACAAACAAACAAACATATCTGAACCTCGCTGTACCAGTCTGATCAGCTGTCTGTCCAACCAGCGCAGAACATCAGGCCCCTCCTCTGTCTCCGCCCGGTACACCGCCAACCTCGCCATCAAGATGGCCGCCGCCTCTTGATCGAAGGACGCCGCGATGCTCTGAATCTGAGTCTGAGCGTCTGCCCAGCTGGAGGGGGAGGAGGGGAAGGAGGGGGATTTAAGAAGAGAAGCAAACGCATATAAGGATGTAGGTATGTAATAAATATAAGTATATAAGTATATAAGTAGAGTATATAAGTATATAAGTAGAGTATATAAGTATATAAGTAAAGTATATAAGTATATAAGTAGAGTATATAAGTATATAAGTAGAGTATATAAGTATAAAAGTATATAAGTATAAAAGTATATAAGTAGAGTATATAAGTATATAAGTAGAGTATATAAGTATATAAGTAGAGTATACAAGTATATAAGTAGAGTATATAAGTATATAAGTAGAGTATATAAGTATATAGGTAGAGTATATAAGTAGAGTATATAAGTAGAGTATATAAGTATATAAGTAGAGTATATAATTATATAAGTAGAGTATATTAGTAGAGTATATAAGTATATAAGTAGAGTATATAAATATATAAGTAGAGTATATAAGTATATAAGTAGAGTATACAAGTATATAAGTAGAGTATATAAGTATATAGGTAGAATATATAAGTAGAGTATATAAGTATATAAGTAGAGTATATAGTATATAAGTAGAGTATATAAGTATATAAGTAGAGTATACAAGTATATAAGTAGAGTATACAAGTATATAAGTAGAGTATATAAGTATATAGGTAGAGTATATAAGTATATAAGTATATAAGTAGAGTATATAAGTATATAAGTATATAAGTAGAGTATATAAGTATATAGGTAGAGTATATAAGTATATAAGTATATAAGTAGAGTATATAAGTATATAAGTATATAAGTATATAAGTATATAAGTAGAGTATATAAGTATATAGGTAGAGTATATAAGTATATAAGTAGAGTATATAAGTATATAAGTATATAAGTAGAGTATATAAGTATATAGGTAGAGTATATAAGTATATAGGTAGAGTATATAAGTAGAGTATATAAGTATATAAGTAGAGTATATAAGTATATAGGTAGAGTATATAAGTAGAGTATATAAGTATATAAGTAGAGTATATAAGTATATAAGTAGAGTATATAAGTATATAGGTAGAGTATATAGGTATATAAGTATATAAGTAGAGTATATAAGTATATAGGTAGAGTATATAAGTATATAAATATATAAGTATAAAGGTAGAGTATATAAGTAGAGTATATAAGTATATAGGTAGAGTATATAAGTATATAAATATATAAGTAGAGTATATAAGTATAAAGGTAGAGTATATAAGTAGAGTATATAAGTATATGAGTAGAGTATATAAGTATATAGGTAGAGTATATAGTATATAAGTAGAGTATATAAGTATATAGGTAGAGTATATAAGTATATAAGTAAAAAGTAGAGTATATAAGTATATAAGTAGAGTATATAAGTATATAAGTAGAGTATATAAGTATATAAGTATATAAGTAGAGTATATAAGTATATAGGTAGAGTATATAAGTATAAAGGTAGAGTATATAAGTAGAGTATATAAGTATATAAGTATAAAGGTAGAGTATATAGGTATATAAATATATAAGTAGAGTATATAAGTATATAAGTATATAAGTAGAGTATATAAGTATATAAGTAGAGTATATAAGTATATAGGTAGAGTATATAAGTATATAAGTAGAGTATATAAGTAGAGTATATAAGTACATAGGTAGAGTATATAAGTATATAAGTAGAGTATATAAGTATATAAGTAGAGTATATAAGTATATAGGTAGAGTATATAAGTATATTAGTAGAGTATATAAGTATATAAGTAGAGTATATAAGTACATAGGTAGAGTATATAAGTATATAAGTAGAGTATATAAGTACATAGGTAGAGTATATAAGTATATTAGTAGAGTATATAAGTATATAAATATATAAGTAGAGTATATAAGTACATAGGTAGAGTATATAAGTATATAAGTAGAGTATATAAGTACATAGGTAGAGTATATAAGTATATTAGTAGAGTATATAAGTATATAAATATATAAGTAGAGTATATAAGTATATAAGTAGAGTATATAAGTATATAGGTAGAGTATATAAGTATATTAGTAGAGTATATAAGTATATAAGTAGAGTATATAAGTACATAGGTAGAGTATATAAGTATATAAGTAGAGTATATAAGTATATAGGTAGAGTATATAAGTATATAAATATATAAGTAGAGTATATAAGTATATAAGAGTGTGTACTGTCGTACTTCCTGGCCGTGGTGGTGACTCTGATGCGTCTCTGTCCTGAGGAGTGCTGGTACTGAGTGACGAACTGGATCGCTCCACGGCCGCCCTGAGGAATCGGAGCGTTGTGCTGCAACAGAAACAACAAACCGACTGCAGATCAATCATCAATCAATATCTGTACAGAGACAGCAGGAACATGTGGGTTCCACATCAGCAGACTCACTCAGCTACAAAAAAAAGAGCAGAGGAGCCACATGCTTCAGTTATTGCCATTCATGTGTCGGGGCGTCAGAGAGGGACTCCATTGAGCATGATCTGTGGGACCATGTGTGAGTATTGTTGACAGGCCTGAATGGACACCTTGTTAGAGCACAGGAGCTTTAATCTTTGTAATTGTTACATTTAGTTGATAATAGGTGTATATTCTGTATGAATGTTAGTCAGTGATACTTTTACTAACATATACCATCTGAATACTCGTTCCAATAATGATGATCTAATGTAATGTTAATGACATGTTTTATTTCTTTATTTATTGTTTCATTCTCATAACTTTTTTTACCTGAACTTTATTTTGAAAGGTGCTATAAAAATAGTTTATAGTTTATAAGTTTGAGATGACCTCATCTATATTTATAATAATAAGGATTATATATGAGTTTAATTTGGGGTAGCGAAAGGTGAACCCAACCTGAGCTCCTCAGTGGTCTGAGGTTCAACAGCGGCAGGACAATGATGATGATGATGATGATGATTACACACCTGCACACCTGTTATTACCTGAGTCAGGCTGTGGGACACGTGCCACACACACACACACACACACACACACACACACACACACACAGGATATTGGATGTTCAGGTAGTGTTGACATTACAGAGAACTGTGTGTGTGTGTGTGTGTGTCCTCTCATCATCATCATCATCTCAGCAGGTGACTGACAGGTGCACCATGGCAACGCAGCCTCTGGAGACACACACACAGAGCAGGACACGCCTCCTCCAGTCCTCTTCTGACTCAGAGCTCAACAGACTGACGGTCTCAGATCAGATTTAAACGAAGACTTTAAAGATCAAATTAATATTCCTGATATTGATCACAGACTGGCTTTTGTCTAGTTTGACCTTTGACCTTTATGGAGGAGAACGACAACTGAACTGAAGTGACATGGACCTGTTTCCCACCACTTCCAGGACCTGAGAGTCCTCTGTGGATTTCAGTGGCGCTCAGCACTGGAGAGTTTTACAGTGCAGGACAGAAGGAACTGATTAAGACTCCGGTTCCTCCGGTGGAAACACTGGGAAGGTTCCTGGCAATCGGTGGAAACAAGTTGACTTAAACCGAGCTGATCACATCTTTGTAGTTTCTGAGGTCCAAGCAACCGGCTCTGCAGGATTTACTGTTTATATCACCTGAAGAACAACAGGGAGGATGTTTGATGAGTGTTTGAACTTTGACGTCATCCAGAAGACAAAAAACTCAACGTCTGTAAACAGGAAAAAGTAACGGTGAACTGATAGTGACTGATAATACTATAGAAGCTGCAGTAAAGACAGTAGAGGCTGCAGTAAAGACAGTAGAAGCTGCAGTAAAGACACTGGAAGCGGCAGTAAAGACAGTAGAAGGGGCAGTAAAGACAGTAGAAGCTGCAGTAAAGAGTAGAAGGGGCAGTAAAGAAAGTAGAAGTGGCAGTAAAGACAGTGTAAGTGGCAGTACAGACAGAATAAGGGGCAGTAAAGACAGTATAAGGGGCAGTAAAGACAGAATAAGGGGCAGTAAAGTCAGTAGAAGGGGCAGTAAAGACAGTAGAAGCTGCAGTAAAGACAGTAGAAGCTGCAGTAAAGACAGTAGAAGGGGCAGTAAAGAAAGTAGAAGTGGCAGTAAAGACTGTAAGTGGCAGTAAAGACAGTAGAAGCAGCAGTAAACACAGTAGAAGGGGCAGTAAAGTCAGTAGAAGGGGCAGTAAAGACAGTAGAAGCTGCAGTAAAGACAGTAGAAGGGGCAGTAAAGAAAGTAGAAGTGGCAGTAAAGACTGTAAGTGGCAGTAAAGACAGTAGAAGCGGCAGTAAAGACAGTATAAGGGGCAGTAAAGACAGTAGAAGGAGCAGTAAAGACAGTAGAAGCTGCAGTAAAGACAGTAGAAGCTGCAGTAAAGACAGTGGAAGCGGCAGTAAAGACAGTAGATGCGGCAGTAAAGACAGTATAAGGGGCAGTAAAGACAGTAGAAGCTGCAGTAAAGACAGTGGAAGCGGCAGTAAAGACAGTAGAAGCTGCAGTAAAGACCGTGGAACGGCAGTAAAGACAGTATAAGCGGCAGTAAAGACAGTGGAAGCGGCAATAAAGACAGTAGAAGCTGCAGTAAAGACAGTGGAAGCGGCAGTAAAGAGTGGAAGCGGCAGTAAAGACAGTATAAGCGGCAGTAGAGATGCTGTTTTTACTGTAATGGATATCTAGCGATGATATAATGTGACACAAACTGAATCGTCCTCAGTGTGTTCAGGTTCAGTCAGCTCACTGCTGTGACTCATCAGTTAATCACTGTGGTGACTGAGGTCCAACCAGCTCCTCAGACCAAAAGTTTCTGGATTTACAGTCTGTTTATATGAAAGACTTCTGCTCAGGTTTGGACCTCAGGCTGAACAACATGGGAGAGGTTTAGAGTTGTCCGTCTCGTTCTTCAGGACCATTATAAAAAAAAAACAGACATCAACGTAGGCTCTGGGAAATGTGATTGGAGCATTTTTGATGTTCAGATGTCCCAGCTCTGTCCCGTCTGATCTGAGATGAAGTTGTTGACGTATTTCCTGTCCTGCAAGTCCATCTGAAGATGGCGGATGCTCTGAGGACACTGTACGCCGCTCTGATGGTTCTGTCAGGTGTGGCTTCCATCTTTGGGAACCTCCTCCTCCTGCTGGTGCTCGTCCTCAACAAGGAGCTCCGAACCGACACGCTGGGCCTCACCCTGAGCTTCAGTATCAGCGACCTGGCTCTCGGACTCTCCACTATCCCCTTCGGAGCCTACAACAGCCTGGCGTGGCCCTCCTGCTGCCCAAGCGAGGGTGCCTTCTGTCAGGGCAGTGGCTTCATCTTCCTCCTCCTGCAGACCTCCTCCATCCACTCACTCACCTGGGCCACAGTCAACAAGTTCACCGAGATCTGCTTCGCCCTCAGCTACAGCAGCATCTGGACAGCCGGGCGGAGCCGGCTAGTCCTGGTCCTGGTCTGGGTGTTCTGCCTGGTGAACGCTGCAATGCCCCTTCTGGGTTTCGGCAGCTACATCTACAGTGAGTCGCGGTTTCTCTGCTGTCCAAGTTTCACGCCTGACAACAAGTACTTTGTAGTGCTGTGGATGTTGGTGGGCATCGTGGCACCGATCCTCACCATGTGCTCTCTGTACGGATACATTGTCTACGTGGCCAGGAAACAGGCCAGAAGGGGGACGTTCATGTGCAACGAGCTGCATTGCTACTACGTTCCTGCCAACAATTACCTGAGGAGCTCCATTGTGATGGTCACAACCTCAGGTGAGACACAACCTATATGGCCCCTGCGGTCTTTCAAACATTGTGCTGCTAAAATCCTGCCAGTTTCATTTTTGGCAAATGTCTAAAAGTTTCTTTTTGGAAGGTGGTGGACTTCTACTACACTTCCACAATTTATCATGTGAGACATGCTGTACACCAACACTTATTGTTTTTAAAAATGGGACCAGCTACCACCTGTTTACAGCTATTATGTGGGCCTTCATTTGAATATGTGCTTTCATTTAGAGTGGGGTCATAAAAGGGGAACAGGAGCCACAAAATGTTGTGAAAGAAGAGCAGAGTTTATAATTAAATATGATCTGTAAAGACTACAGTGTCTGAATTATCTGCAAACATCATAGAAAGGAAAGCTGCCTCATGTGTGGAAAGAACATATAGTCATAAAATTCAACACCAACAGTAGTAGCATATGTGCATGTTGCCATGACAACAGGAGCAGAGAGGACATGTTGAATGTCTGAGATAAACCCTGAGCTATGGAGCAGAAATCAGACGTCCAACAGAAGGACAGCTGAGTCACTCTGATTGCCTCTGAGGATCAGCTTCCATGTTTACCTTCATGACTCACTGCCATTACTCTCATTATGGTAACACACAGTGGTGTCATAAAAGCAGGAGGGGTCAAAGGTCACCGCAGCAGCCTGCAGACAAAGTGGACGACACATAAATCAAACTATAGGTTTATGTTTTAACCATCTGTTTGACTGTTACTGAGAAATCAGGATGTTTCTGTCTTGGTTTGGTGGATGGCTTTAAATACTACAATACCCACAATCCTCAGCTGCCATACCTATGGAGAACAAGTCCTTCTACTTCTGCAACTAGTCCCCAGACATCAACTAGTGCCTAGACCTCTGCAGTTATTCCTTAGACCTCTGCAGTTAGTCCTCAGACCTCTGCAACTAGTCCCCAGACCTCTGCAACTAGTCCCCAGACCTCTGCAGTTGATTCAATTCAATTCAATTCAATTTTATTTGTATAGCGCCAATTCATAACAAAAGTTATCTCAGGACACTTTTCAAATAGAGCAGGTCTAGACTGAACTCTTTAAAACGTTATTTACAGAGACCCAACAGTACCACCATGAGCAAGACCTTGGAGACAAGGGCAAGGAAAAACTGCCTGTTAAAATGCAGAAACCTAGGACAGATCCTTCGGCTCTAGGTGGGTGGTCGTCTGCCTCGACCAGTTGGGGTGAGAGAGAGAGAGACAGAGAGAGAGAGAGAGAGAGAGAGAGAGAGACAGACAGACAGACAGACAGACAGACAGGTGCACAGCAACAACAGTATTGGCAATGGCAATCTAGCAGGAGGAAAGAGAGAGGAAGGGAGGAGCTCAGTGCACCATGGGAAATCCCCCGATAGTCTAGGCCTATAGCAGCATAACTAAGGGATGGTTCAGGACTCACCTGATCCAGCCCTAACTATAAGCTTTATCAAAGAGGAGAGTTAGTCCTCAGACCTCTGCAGTTAGTCCCCAGACCTCTGCAACTAGTCCCCAGACCTCGGCTGGTGGACAGTCTTTTGGTTGGTTCTGATCTGTTCATGTATTTTTGGTTATGTGCTAACAGTTTCCTGTTTTCTAGTATGTTTGCTGGTGTGCTGGCTGCCCTACATCTCAGTGTGTCTTTACGAGACGTTTAGTGGTCAACAGAGTCATGCTGTGATGTCTGCCTTCTCTGCCTGGCTAGTTCTGACCAGTGCCGCCCTCAACCCCTGGATCACCTGTATGACGCAGACGTAAGTAAGATTCCGGAAAGGCAAAGTGAATCGTGAGTGTGCGGCTTGTAGGATTAGTTGTGAAGCAGCAATAAAACATATTGACAATGTAATTCTTGATGGAAACATAACTTCTGTCCATGTGTTTTCAGCAGGTACAGGGCAGCGATGCGTCGGAGCATCGGCAGGTTTATTCAGATGTGTCCATGTTCTGGAACGCCTCTGGAGTCCCGCCCACAGAGCTCCATCGTCCACCTGGACACAGCCAATCGCATCAGCACGACGACGACGACGACGACAATGACAACACGCCCACCGTCATCATCAAAAACACCAACACCACCATGACCAACACAGCTGACACAACTACTGCTACCACCTCTACACCATCAGTCCAAAGACAGAAACAACTGCTGTATCTGCAGACAACCGGTCATCAGACTGGCCTGTGAATGTTACACTGCATTGTGGGAAATGCAGTTCCATTTCAGTTTGAAGACATTCCTCCTCCATCACATTCAGGGCTATGGATGATGTGAATGATGGTTACCTCCAGCTTTCTGGTTCAGATGCTGCTTACTTTCACACCTCCACACACCTGACCAATCCTTGTGCAAGGCAGGTGTGATTGTTGGACTGTCTGTTTCAGAAAATGATTGGACGCAGCCCTCCTCCCTACATTTCAACTTCAAAAAGGGAAAGACGCCCAGACAAGAGCCTTGATTGGAGCAGACTCTTATAGACAGTGATTCAGTGTTTCAATTCAGTACAGACATCCATGGTTCCCTCAGGATGAGTGCTCTGACTTGTACTTGTACTCCATAATTCAGTTCATGACAGGATAATCTCAACTGATGGTTGAACATCTGATCAGGATCCTCCTGAACGCATCCTTAAGGAGGTATTCTGGACATACTGAGAGCAGACGCCAGGACCGACACAGAACACACCGTAAGGATCCAGACTCACATGTGCTGTTTTGTATATAGTGGATATGGGAGTGCTGGTGTGGCTGTGAACGTTTCTATCTCACTGAAACATGTTTTCTAACCAGCAGTGAGCAGTTGCTGCTGAGGAAAGGAATAAATACTGTGGAAGAGGAACATTTTCTCAGGACCTCAATTTGAAATGTGATTGCAAATCTTCTTGCTCTGGTTCTGAATTTCTTGCAGTTGAATTTAAAATATAAGGAAAGTTTTCAGAGCTTGTCTGACTTCATATCCAAAGGGTCGGCAATCTGACTATATAATAAGCAATAAGAAAATAATACTATTGATGGATATGGTCTCTGTGTGCTTAGTGTGTGTTAGTATATTTAATATTTTCTCATTAATCAATAAACCTTTTAGAATCCCTGATCCACAATGAAAACATACAGTAGATACCACCTGACTGGGACTGGAAGCAGGTTTCTGTTCCAACAAAACTTCACCTGTGACTTCAGCTACCAGATGTAAAATTAACTTCAATTAAAATGTATGTGACCTGAGCTGGTGCTTTTATTTTGTTGACTTGAGCTGTTTCCTTTATTGTATATGCCTCAGTGTGCTCTCTGCCGCTAAAACTGTACTGATCATGGGTGGGAAGCTACATTTACTCAAGCACTGAGTTTCAGCACATTTTCAGGCTGATCTCAGACCATGTAAAGGTCAGAGGTCAAGTGTTCGTACCTGGTTCACCACCTCAAAGTAAAGAGCCAGCGTGGTGGTCGGATCCAAACCACAGATCTTCCACTGACACGTTCCTCCTGTCCCGATCTCCTGTAACACACATACAGAGGGTCACTGCACTACTACAGTACTGTAGTATAATACAGAGTACTGCAGTATAACACAGAGTACTGCAGTATAACACAGAGTACTGTAGTATAACACAGAGTACTGCAGTATAACACAGAGTACTGCAGTATAACACAGAGTACTGCAGTATAACACAGAGTACTGCAGTATAACACAGAGTCCTGCAGTATAACACAGAGTACAGTCCCAGGTTCAGACTGATAAGTTATCTGTTTTTTAAATTAGAGCTCTTTGTTGTACACAGATTATATACAGATGTACTGTATACATATAGTATATCATATACGATATATAAACATAAATACTGTATAGTATGTGTAGTGTGCAGTATTTCCACAGATATCAGACGTGCTGAATGTCAAAGGTCAGCTGTTACATACGTTCTCAGAGACACAGGGTCCTTTGGCGCTCAGAGACACGCAGGGTCCGATCGCTCCTGATACTTTGATCTCTCTGGACGTCTGGAACAAAAACACACAACAGTGAGTCTATTCACCTGAGACACAGGTGAGCTGGGGGCGGGGCTTCTGTCTGTGGCTGGAAGTTGAGACCAACATTGATATTTAAGAGGTTGACAGAGATTTTTCATGCTGGAGTGTTTGTTGAACAGTGCGTCAGCGCCCTCTGGTGGACAAACACATCTGTGCCATTTCTCAGCTGATGTCAGCTGCAGTTGGTACCTTGACCTCCAGCGTGGCGGCGAAGGCCATCTTGAAGGATCCCTGGACTTCTTTGGTGAAAACTCTTTGGAAGGTTTGCTTGAACAGAGACGTGTTGAAGGAGTCTGCCATCACCATGTAACCTCTGCAGAGACCAGAATACCAACACAGCACGTCACAAAGGGGTCTCTGTGGATCTGGTCTTTCTTTAACAGACCGCTCACAATACAGGGTGGATTGGGGGGGGGGTCATCAGTGTTAGAGGGCATTTAAACCAGCTGTGATGTTTGATTTTCACTCTGTTCACATGCACTGCAGTAATTGTTAATGTGATGGTATGACCAGTTGCTTGAGGTGCCAGTTAAGTCAGCGCCACTCCAGTTAATCCCCAACACTAAATCATCTTCACTTTAAGTTTAACAGTCGCTTTGGTGCATAAAAGAATAAAGAAACTAAAAGAGAGAGTTTCCCAACTCTGGTTCTGTCCGGGTTTATGTGCGCCTGCTGCAGAAAGAAATACTTAAATTCTGAAGAACTGATTCACGAACTATAACAGGAAACAAAGAAGACAGACGGCAAAGAGCTCAGACAGGACGATACAGTAGCACTGCGCTATCTTGGATTTCAGTGAATGGATGTATTTATGAGTGGAGGTGTGTGAGTGACAGCTGATCACTGCACCCGACCGTTCGGTGGTTTGAATGATTCTCTACGTGTGTGTGTGTGTGTGTGTGTGTGTGTGTGTGTGTGTGTGTGTGTACCCGGTGTAGTTGGCGCAGCACTTCATCTCGAGGAGGCCGGTCTGATCCAGAGCACAGGCGTAGATGTCGATGATGTGACCGTTAGTGGATGCTCTGTTAGCTAGAGACTCATAGTGCTTCGTGGCTTTCTTCATGAACTTGGCGTTGTCTTTCTCAAGGTCGTGCCAGGACCTGATGGGGATCTTCAGTTCATCTCCAACCACCATTCCGGGGCCCTGCGTTGCCGGGCCGCCGATGAACGTCATGATCCGAGCACCAGTGTTGGGGAAGGTGCACTGTGAGTAAAAGCACAGATTGTGTGTGACACCCACACACTGCTCGAAGCTGAACACAGAATTATAAGGAGTTCGGTCTAGACCTGCTATCTAAAAAGTGTCCTCAGATAACTTTGGCACTACATAAATAAAACTGAATTGGTTTAAAACCTCGACCCCGCTCACCTCCAGCAGCCCCACAGCGATGGACATGGCGACACCCAGCGAGCGCAGCGGCCTCTTTCCCTGTGTGACGGGCCAGGGGTCGCGCTGCAGCTCCCCCAACAGGTCAGTCAGGTTCATGTCGATCTTCTGCACTGGCTGCAGGAACCTGAAGAGACAAAACACACTTCAGACTCTGAGGGACAAAATTATATACTGACAGTAAGAACGTGCCTGCACTGCGAGATCGTGCCTGCACTGCGAGGACGTGCTTTCACTGTGAGGACGTGCCTGCACTGTGAAGATGTACCTGCGCTGCGAGGACGTGCCTGCGCTGCGAGGACGTGCCTGCGCTGCGAGGACGTGCCTGCGCTGCGAGGACGTGCCTGCACTGTGAAGACATCACTGACTCAAACCTGTGTGTTTACCTGTTGGACAGAGGCTGTGGGGCAGTTTGAGGACCTCGTGCCTGAGTGGCTGAAGGTTTGGTGAGACCGAGCATCTCCTGAAAAGTCATAAATGATTCATACAATTAGTAAAAGTTAGTGTGTTCATTAGCGCTGTTAGCTTACACAGGTGGTGGCCAAAAAGTAAGAGAGGTTGTCGGTTCAAAATCTTGGCGCTTGCCCAGTCCTACCACTGATACCATCTCTTCCACCAAAGCAGTTTGAGGGCCTGTGCTTAATCTCAAACCAGTTCTTTGCATTTTGAACCGACTGTTAGCCAGGAAAACTGCAGACGCCTTGTGGTCACTCAGCTATGATGTTACAAAGCTAGCCATTGGTGAGCTAACATTACCTTACATTCGAGGTGATGTGAGAACTTAGTAGCAATGCTTTTTTGGGTAACGTTAGCTCACCAATAGCTAGCTAGCTAGCCATCTAACATAACCTTGGCAACAACAGCTAACACTGAAGGCCTATACAGTGACGTAATGATGTAGCTGTATGGTGGGTGTCTAGTCGGTTCTCTCACCTGAACCGGCACTAGGACCAACCCAGAACTAGCACTAGGTTCATGTTGTGGAAAGGTGCCCTTGAGTCCCTACATCAGACTCCAGGTGTGAATGTGTAACTGTAAACCGCGATGATCTGCAAAAGAGAGGAGCGCACCCCAGAGGTTTTGCAGACGACACATTGGGGCCACAGTGGGACATCTTTAAAGACTCTATTGCTGAGGTGGCTGTAATCAGGACACATCCACCTGGGAGGAGACTCTGGGGCGAACCCACATCACACTGGACGGGTTACACGTCCCATTAGGCCTGTGAACTAGGGATGTGAATCCCCACCACTGAGGCCGATTCGATACACATCTCGATACGTTGCCAGTGATATGATACATTAACGATACAGTGGAGCCCCCTGCTGATACGATGCAATACGATTTACCTCTGTTCACGATGCGATGCGATTCATTAATGATTTGACAACGATTTGACTTTATACAATGCGTTTCGGTTCGATGCAATTCATGATGCGATTCAAAACGATTCAACACAATACAAAGAATTTACAAGCCCACATCTGATTTCTAATGTATTTGATACTTGATTGTTTTCTATAAAGCAAACTAATAAATCCAACTTAAAAAGAAGATGCAATTCAATATGGTACAGACAGAGGATTATTCCTAATAAACACTAAATCATAAACAAAAAATATTTTTTTCATTACATGTGTTTTTAATCTCATTCTCTACTTATACAACACTAAATGTATTGTATTCGGATAATTTCTTTTTGGCCTCTTAATAAAAAAACAAAAACAAAACAGTCCTTTTCTCAGGTCCTTTTACTAATAGTGTTCTGTCTGTAATTTCACAATGTTTTACAAAACACTTAAAAAACTTCCCAACATCAACAATGTGCATTGTGCAAATAACTTCATCATAGTGCAATGCCCATACTACTGCTGCCAGACTGATGTGCTTGAGCTGACACTTTTCTAGTTGGCTAACTGAGCAGTGAGAGCAGAAATCATTGAGATTTATACAACAATATAACAGTTAAACAATAATAAACAATTGCAACTGCTTACAAATGTATAATGACTCTTCACCTGTTGTGTCGCTTCCCTCCATTTTTTCTGTTTACTAACTAACTGCGTCTGCGGCGCATAGTGATGGTGCGTTCAAGGCGCCTCAAAAACACGGGTGCAGAGGAGATAAACTATGTAATAATCGATGTAACCATGGGTTTCACCGATGCAGACACGCAAAGAAAGATACATTGCGCATTTAGCCGGCAGTTGTATCCGATGCACACTGAAGCTACCGGTGCACTCACATCTCGGACCACCGATTCCAATCGGTGAATCTCTCCATCCCTACTGTGAACACATCAGGATTCTCCAGGAGGAGCTAGTGTGTGTGGGATACTACAAACCCAGACCCAGATAAGGAAAATGGATGGTCTGGGTGATGGACTAGTTGTTGTGTTAGTGAACTAGCTTCCTGCAGGAATAGTTACCTGTAGCTGCTTGGCATTGAGATCTTTGGTCCCCCTGAAGACGTAGCTCTTGGAGATCCCTTCACAGCCGAGCTCGTGGACCTGAACCATCCGGCCGAAGGTAATGAGTCCGACTAGCGCGGTGGGAGGCAGCAGAGACAGGGACATCTGCAGAGACTCCTTCAGAGCCTGCAGGTCCTCGTCCTCCATACAGGTGTCCACCACATACAGGAAGACCAGTGGCATCTGAGGACCCCGCTGAGGAAAAAGACCACATCAGGTTACACACCTGACAATAGGGTCTGTCTGAACATGTCTGTCCCTGTCTGTCAGTCTTACCTGGACCACATACTCGATGGTGGAGAACTGAGGCAGCAGCTCAGCAGGTTGGTTCACCTCAGAGATCCCCGCGTAGGATGGAGGAAACTGAAAGAGAACATCTGTCACTGTGTGTGTCTGCTATCTCTGTGAGGACCAGTGTCAGTGTACGACCTCCACTGTGAGGACATTATGTGTGTTTGTACAGTGATAATAAAGTTGTGTGTTTGTACAGTGTTAATAAAGTTGTGTGTTTGTACAGTGTTAATAAAGTTGTGTGTTTGTACAGTGTTAATAAAGTTGTGTGTTTGTACAGTGTTAATAAAGTTGTGTGTTTGTACAGTGTTAATAAAGTTGTGTGTTTGTACAGTGATAATAAAGTTGTGTGTTTGTACAGTGTTAATAAAGTTGTGTTTGTACAGTGTTAATAAAGTTGTTTTTGTACAGTGATAATAAAGTTGTGTTTGTACAGTGTTAATAAAGTTGTGTGTTTGTACAGTGTTAATAAAGTTGTGTTTGTACAGTGTTAATAAAGTTGTGTTTGTACAGTGTTAATAAAGTTGTGTGTTTGTACGGTGTTAATAAAGTTGTGTTTGTACAGTGTTAATAAAGTTGTGTGTTTGTACAGTGATAATAAAGTTGTGTGTCTGTACAGTGTTAATAAAGTTGTGTTTGTACAGTGTTAATAAAGTTGTGTGTTTGTACAGTGTTAATAAAGTTGTGTTTGTACAGTGTTAATAAAGTTGTGTTTGTACAGTGTTAATAAAGTTGTGTGTTTGTACAGTGTTAATAAAGTTGTGTGTTTGTACAGTGTTAATAAAGTTGTGTGTTTGTACAGTGTTAATAAAGTTGTGTTTGTACAGTGTTAATAAAGTTGTTTTTGTACAGTGATAATAAAGTTGTGTTTGTACAGTGTTAATAAAGTTGTGTTTGTACAGTGTTAATAAAGTTGTGTTTGTACAGTGTTAATAAAGTTGTGTGTTTGTACGGTGTTAATAAAGTTGTGTTTGTACAGTGTTAATAAAGTTGTGTGTTTGTACAGTGATAATAAAGTTGTGTGTTTGTACAGTGTTAATAAAGTTGTGTTTGTACAGTGTTAATAAAGTTGTGTGTTTGTACAGTGTTAATAAAGTTGTGTTTGTACAGTGTTAATAAAGTTGTGTTTGTACAGTGTTAATAAAGTTGTGTGTTTGTACAGTGTTAATAAAGTTGTGTCTGTACAGTGTTAATAAAGTTGTGTTTGTACAGTGTTAATAAAGTTGTTTTTGTACAGTGATAATAAAGTTGTGTTTGTACAGTGTTAATAAAGTTGTGTGTTTGTACAGTGTTAATAAAGTTGTGTGTTTGTACAGTGTTAATAAAGTTGTGTGTTTGTACAGTGTTAATAAAGTTGTGTCTGTACTATAAATACTGAACCTGGTTCCTCTGGTAGCAGAAGTTACAGGCCCACAGTTTGGCTCTGTAGTCCACTTGGCTGAAACAGACAGACAGTTGGAGGTTAGACAGGTTACGGACTGACCTCTGACCTCTGTCTATGACTTCACACAGGTGAGCAGTGATTCGTACCACAGCGGGTTGAGCACGGCGCGGCAGGTGGCGCGGCTGCAGAGGACCGGCTCATACTGGATGGGGGGCAGGTCGGGTCGCTCCCTCAGCGGGGTGAACAGGGCCGCCACCGGGACCACCATCCGGGTCGCCTCCAGCCGGCTGGACGGCCACACATTCCAGCTGAACCGCACGCCATCACGCTCCTCGTTCTGAGCGATGTACTCTGGGAAGGTTGCCATGGCAACGCTGGGAGACGGGAGGGGTCGGACACACTGTCAGATAAAAGCTGGGGGAGGGGGGTAAATGGAATATCAGTGTACTGCAGTACTACTAACCACTACTAACTATACTGCAGTACTGACTTCAGTTCTGACATTGATCTTTAACATTTTAATAACCAATGAGCTGATCAATCAATGTGCAACAGTTATGAGCTCCTCTCCTGTGGAACCAGCTTCCAGTTGTGGTTCGGGAGGCAGACACCCTCTCCGCATTCAAGAGTAGGCTTAAGACATTCCTCTTTGATAAAGCTTATCCAATCCAATCCAATCCACTTTATTTATATAGCACGAATTTAACAAACACAAGGTTTCCAAAGTGCTGCACAAAAAGATATACAGAATAAATAAATAACACAATCGAAGATACACAATAAAAGATAAAAGCAATAAAATAAAATAAAATAAAATAAGTAAAATAAATAACAGAAATAAATAAAAAGCACTGCCCACACAAGATAAAAATATGCATGTGTACACATAGAATCAACGCTCTACATGGCATCAAAAGCCGAAGAGAAGAGGTGGGTTTTAAGAAGAGTTTTAAAATGAGACAGAGAGGTGGCCTGTCTAATGTGCAGCGGCAATCCATTCCAAAGTTTTGGAGCTGCAACGGCAAACGCTCGTTCCCCTCTGAGCTTAAGCCTAGCTTTAGGCACTGTCAGGAGCAGCTGGTCAGCTGACCTGAGAGAACGGCTGGGAGTGTAGGGGTGCAGCAGCTCAGAGAGGTAAGAAGGGGCAAGGCCATTCAAAGCTTTAAAAGCAAATAAAAGAATTTTAAAATGAATCCTAAAATGGACGGGCAACCAGTGGAGTGAAGCTAAAATAGGTGAAATGTGCTCATACTTGCGTGTGCCAGTTAAAAGACGTGCAGCAGCATTTTGTACCAGTTGAAGACGAGAAATGGAGGACCCACTAACCCCCATATAAAGTGCATTACAGTAATCCAGCCGAGTGGTCACAAAGGCGTGGATTACTGTCTCAAAGTGCTGTCTCTGAAGGACTGATTTGATTTTTGCCAGCTGCCTTAACTGGAAAAAGCTAGACTTTACCACAGCTTTAATTTGGCTGTCAAATTTAAGGTCTGTGTCAACTTTTACCCCAAGATTTTTTGCAATTGGTTTGCGATATTGCGCTAAAGAACCCAGATCAACTGGGGGGGTCACAGAAGTGCCACCAAAGACCATTACTTCTGTCTTTTTTCATTAAAATTCAGAAAATTCAAAGACATCCAAGTTTTAAGGTCGTGTAAGCACTTTAGCAGTGGGTCAACAGAGTAGGATTCTGATTTTTTGAGGGGGATATAGATCTGGCTGTCATCCGCATAACAGTGAAAAGAAATGCCATGTTTCCTGAGAATGGAACCAAGTGGGAGTAGATAAAGAGAAAATAAAAGAGGGCCAAGCACAGAGCCCTGTGGGACCCCACATGAGAGAGGAGCAGTGGAGGACACAGAGTCATCAAGGCTGACACAGAAAGTCCGATGTGACAGGTAGGACCTGAACCATTCCAGTGCTGAGCCACTGATGCCCACCCACTGCTCCAAACGAGCGATCAGGATTTCATGATCCACTGTATCAAATGCTGCAGTCAAATCTAAAAGTACAAGGACAACACAGTGTCCAGAGTCAGTAGCTAAAAGATATCATTAAAAACTCTTAAAAGCGCTGATTCTGTGCTGTGCAATGTTTTAAAACCGGATTGGAAAGTCTCAAGAATATTGTGTTCATTTAAAAAGTCCATGAGCTGGGAATAAACAATCTTCTCTAAGATTTTAGAGAAGAAAGGCAATTTGGATATAGGCCTGAAATTTGCCAAAACATTATGATCCAGCCCAGGTTTTTTTAATGAATAGTATAATAGTCTTATAGTTAGGGCTGGATCAGGTGAGTCCTGAACCATCCCTTAGTTATGCTGCTATAGGCCTAGACTATCGGGGGATTTCCCATGGTGCACTGAGCTCCTCTCTTCCTCTCTCTTTCTGCACTCATTCATGTCCCATTAATGCATGTTACTAACTCCACTTCTTCCCCGGAGTTCTTGTGCTTTCTCGTCTCGCAGGTTCTTGTCGATCCTGGTGGAGCCTCCTGCCATGGTCCTGCTAGATTGCCATTGCCAATACTGTTGTTGCTGTGCACCTGTCTGTCTGTCTGCTCTCTCTCTCTCTCTCTCTCTCTCTCTCTCTCTCTCTCTCACCCCAACTGGTCGAGACAGACGACCACCCACCTAGAGCCGGAGGATCTGTCCTAGGTTTCTGCCTTTTAACAGGCAGTGTTTCCTTGCCCTTGTCTCCAAGTGCTTGCTCATGGTGGTACTGTTGGGTCTCTGTAATTAATGTTATAAAGAGTTCGGTCTAGACCTGCTCTATTTGAAAAGTGTCCTGAGATAACTTCTGTTATGAATTGGCGCTATACAAATAAAATTGAATTGAATTTAATTGAATTGAATTTTACCCAAAAGAGCCTATTGGCATTTTAACTCTGTTTTAACTGTTGATAAATCGTTCAAGGAGGCTTTAAGTTATTTTTGGAATGATTTTAAACAGAAAAAAACCGAGTTTGTCAGTCTGAGGCAGTGGTGGGACCATGGAAAGGTTCAAATTAAACTTTTATGTCAGCAGCACACGCTCAATGTCACACGCGACATCACCAGATCTATCAGAGATCTGGAGACTGATATTGTGGATCTCGAGTGTACAAGTGAGTCCACAGGAAATCGAGGATATATTGAAATCCTCAAGACTAAAAAGATGGCATTAGCCAACCTGCTGGACACTAAAGTACAGGGTGCGCTGGTCCGGTCCCGGGTTCAAAACATAACGGAGATGGATGCTCCATCGAGTTTCTTCTTTGGGCTTGAGAAGAAACAAGGGCAGAGGAGACAAATCCACTCTCTGCTCTCTGAGACAGGGCAAGAGCTGACAGAGCCAGGCCTGATAAGGAAAAGAGCTGTTGAGTTTTATGCCTCATTGTTTGAGAGTGAGTTCAAGGAGAACGAAGAACTGATGGAGGAGTTCTGTGGTGGACTTCCTCAGATATCTAGAGAGGCTAATTCACAGCTCGACAGCCCACTGACTCCACAAGAGCTCTACGCTGCACTGCAGAGCATGCAGGGGCGAAAGGCTCCAGGCATCGACGGCCTCACTGTTGAGTTCTACAAAGCCTTCTGGGACATCTTGGCCCATGACATCAGAGATGTTTTTAATGAGAGTCTGGTGTCTGGGTCAATGCCACTCTCATGTCGGAGAGCCGTAATTACCCTCTTGCCCAAGAAAGGTAATTTGCAAGAAATCAGAAACTGGCGTCCTGTCTCTCTCCTCTGCACTGACTACAAAATACTGTCTAAAGTCCTGGCCAATAGGCTGAAAGGAACCATGGAGCAGATTCTCCACCGGGACCAGACGTACTGTGTGCCCGGCAGGTCTATGGTAGATAATATCTACCTCATTCGGGATGTTTTGGAGGTCTCCAGTTCATTAGGCATAAACACTGGATGGATCTCTTTAGATCAAGAAAAGGCTTTTGACCGCGTTGAACACGACTTCCTTTGGAAGGTCATGGAGAGGTTTGGGTTCAGCGCTGGTCTCATAGCCAAGATCAAGGTGTTGTACAGTGACATTGAGAGTGTGCTAAAGTTTAGTGGTGGCTTGTGTGCTCCTTTTAGAGTGCATAGAGGCGTCCGACAGGGTTGTGCCCTGTCTGGGATGCTCTATGCACTCTCCCTGGAACCCCTCCTACAAAAGATAAGATCATCTGTTAGAGGCCTGTTTTTACCTGGTTTTAACAGTAGTGTTGTTTTATCTGCTTATGCTGACGATGTCGTTGTTTTTATCAAAGATCAACAGGATGTGTGTGTTTTAAATTCTGTAATCGAGAAGTTTTCTGTTGTGTCGGCTGCGAGGGTGAACTGGAGGAAGAGCGAGGCTCTTGCTGTTGGTGAATGGCGGGAGGGCCTCCCTGTTCTCCCTCAAAGCCTGATATGGAGAAGAGAAGGCTTAAAGTATCTCCGTATTTATCTCGGAAACAGCGACAATGGAAAGAAAAACTGGGAAAACATTTTAGAAACAGTGGATAACAAACTGGCTAAGTGGAGGTGGCTCCACCCACAAATATCTTTTAGAGGGAGGGTCCTAATCCTAAACAACCTGGTAGCCTCCATGTTATGGCACCGGTTAGCCTGTCTGGACCCTCCAACAGGTCTCATTGCCCAGATTCAAGTGAAGATTGTCAATTTCTTCTGGAACTGGAAATTGCACTGGATACCACAGTCTGTATTGTTTTTATCCAGAGATGAGGGGGGGCCAGGGCCTGGTCCACCTGGCTAGCAGGACAGCCACCTTCAGGCTCCAGTTCAATCAAAAGTATCTGACTGGACCTGAAGATCTGGTGTGGAGAGACGTGGCCAGCTGCATACTCAGGCGTGTCAATAACCTGGGGCTGGATGCTGCTCTGTTTTTAACTGATTTTAAATTCTTAAAGTTAGGTGGGTTGCCTCCTTTTTATCAGGGTGTTTTTAAATCCTGGGGGCTTTTTAAATGTAAAAGAAGTGAGAAGTGTAACTCTCTGCACTGGTTATTAAAGGAGCCTATAATCTGTGGTGCAAAGATGGACGTGTGCTGCAGCACTGTGCCTGGGCTGATGGGGGTGCTGTGCAGCTCCAGAGTTGTCTGCCTCAAACAACTGATAGATGCAGCAGGACCAGAGCTCACAGATGTCACTCTGGGCTCTTGCTGGGGGTGCGCTCTGTCCGGCTGACGCAGAGGAGCCTAGAGCTCTGGAGGAGGAGGCTGACGGAGAAGGAGAGAATCCTTCTCCTCAAATACGGCAGGGGAGAGGCTGAGCCGGACTCCACAGACCCGTATCCCGAGATCTACTTGTGCCCTGGTTTCACAGAGCTCAGCGGCCCCCTCCTGAGACACAATGATGGGAGTACATTGAGCCTACACAAGACTGACAAAAAAACTCTGTACACAAACTGTGTAAAAACTATCCACAAAACTCGGCTGTGTGACAGAGCGCAGTGTGTGTGGACTGAGAGGCTGGGTGGGCTGAGCCCCCAGTGGAGAACATTATACAAACCTCCTCTAAAAAAAAGAACTGGAGATCTCCAGTGGAGGATTTTACATGGTGCCATTGCCACCAATGCCTTTTATCTGTTCTTAATCACAGTGTTGTAAAGGAGTGCCCATTCTGTGGACTGACTGAGAACATTTTCCATGTTTTTACTGAGTGCAGGAGATTGGCAGACATTTTTAACGTTTTAACTCGTGTTTTTAATCTATTTGGTGTCATTTTTACTGCCCCTGTTTTTATTTGTGGTTGGTTTTAAAAGAACAGAAAAAGTAAAGTGTCGACTCCTAAACTTTTTAATTGGTGAGGCTAAAATGTCGATATACCTGACTCGTAGGGACAGACTGCAGGGTGGGCCGACCCTTGACCCTGTGACCCTGTGGAGGTACAATGTGAAGGCCAGACTGAGGCTGGAGTTTTGCTTCCACAGGGTCACAGGGAATACAGATGTGTTTGAGCAGCAGTGGGCTCATGAGGAGCTGTTGTGCCGGGTGACCGGTGGAGAGTTAAAGTTCACATCCTTCCTCAACTGATCTATTGATTGTGGAACTGTTTGTTACAGTTAGTTAATGTAAATAAAGTATTGTTCAAAAATCAAAATAAAAAATCTCTGTCTGTCTGTCTTTTCTCTCTCTCTCTCTCTCTGTCTCTCTCAAAATTGAATTATGATATTGATATTGATATTGATATTGATCATATGTATTGATTGTTCTGGTTCTGGCTCTTGTATGAGAATGTTTTCTGTTTATTGATAATCACATGTTTGTATTAACTATTGAGTGAATAGACTTTAAAACAACATCAATAATACCAATAATCAATAATATTATCGAACAGTTTTACCATCAGTGTTTAGTTGTTACAGACTTTAACACAGGACAGATCAATGAGCTGATAATCAATGATCAGCTGACTTTGATATTTAAAGTCCACTCTGACAGTACAGGCTGACGTCAGCAGGTACCTTTCTGACCCGTACAGGTGAGGTGCGTCAGTGTTTCACCTGTACCTGAAGCTTTTCACTCAAACGAACATCTGAACTCTGTATCTCAGTTAGCCTCAGAGCTAACAGCTAATAACAGCTAATAACAGCTAACAGCAGCATTAACCTGCAGCGTCATTAACAGGTGACAGGTGACCCGGCTGAGTCCAGGTGAAGTGTGAGGTCAGTCCGGTCCAGGTGAGTGTGAATGAAGGTAAATGTGTCACTCACCTCCGCTCTGCTGCCGCTGCTGCTCCTCTCAGCTGACAACGAAGCAAAACAACATGGCGGCGGCCCGGCGCCACGTCAAGACACAGAGAGGGCGAACACGAAGAGGTCTCACTCTGAGCGACTTCCAGAAACACTTTCCCCCACTAACCCTAACCCCTAACCCCTGACCCCTGACCCCTACCCTAACCCATCCACCAGAGGAGTGTCTCTCTAAATGTATTCCACTTTATGTGATTATCTTCAGTAATGTGTTTCTTTGTACATCCACTATATGGAAGACAAAAATAATCTTATAATGATAAAGTTTCTCATTCTAATGACTCACAGGGTCACATTGGTGTAAATAATATAAATATAATAATATAAAGACAATACAATCTAAAAGAAATAAGTACCTTTATAAATATAATCACACTTTAAAAACAAAGACTTATAAGATATAGTTTAAAGATAAACATGGATAGAAATGTACAATGTTTACCAGATGAAAAACATTCTACTTCAGATGTTATTGAATAAAGATAATGTAGATATTGATCGAAATGATGGAGGCAGAAAGAAGAGATAGAGATGGTTTCTGTATGTTCTTCCTTTAATAACCTGGCTGCAGTGATTCATCCTCTCAACAGAAGATCTTTGGTGGAGCCTCACCCACAGAAGTATTTCAGTTTTCACTCACAGAAAATATACAACAAATAAACAACAATAAACAACATTAAACAACAAGAACCTGTATGAGAACCAGTCCTAATTTACTCATCTGTTCATCTTCATTTCCTGGAAGCAGCTCAAAGAATTAAAACATATCTCCCACTAATAATAATATTAATATTATTGTTATTATTATTAGCAGTGTTTCATTGTCAACAAACTGCCTCAATT